TACTGGTAGGTGATAAAAACAAACCCAATTTTGATATAAACTGAAATATTTCCTTGCCTGAGCACCACTGAACCCAACTATTACTATACATTAGTAATAATATGCCAGTGTTTGTCCTGAAAAGTACCTTTCTTTAAAATTGATTCATAGAATCATCACACTGAAAGGGACTATTTAGGGTTTTAAATTCAACCTTTCAGTCAGGGAGAGAATACATTAAAGCATGCCAGAAAGGAGTCTGATTACTGCTTGCCAGGATCCAGTAAAGAGGAATCACTACTACTTGGATTCCTTTGTTAAATTGTTCCTGTCAATGTTCAGTTGTAATCTGTATTCTGTGATTTAGAACCATTATTCTATTTCATGTACTCTGGACAATGGAATGCAGCTCTTGGGTCTTCTTCCTTGTAATTTGGACACTATGAGGATATAATCCTTAAAAGATTTTTGTGACAGTAGCTCCTCTTTGGATCTTCCACTGTAGATGACCAGGCTGAGCTTGAGGGAGGGGTCAAACATGTCATCAGTCTCGAGTCCCTTCACGCCCACAACAGATTTAAGTCCAGCCCACCTTGAATTCCGTTGACTGTTATCTACTGCCAACTCGCTTTGACTGTTAGTTCAGAGCTCTTGTAAAGAGCTTTAGCATGCAATAAGCCTATATATTCTTTTGAACTGCCTGGAATCCTGATTTCCCGCACTTGACACCTGCTGGCTCATTCTGAAAGACAAAGAAAGGAAGTATAATACTTTTGTCTTGAAGCTTTTACCTACCTTTGGAAGAGAGGAAAACATAATTACACCAAGCTGGTCCCCTACAGCCAATTAGTAGAGACTCAAATGTCATTTTGCAATGTAGATTTCAAAAAAAAAAAAAACTTTGTAGAAAGTCTACAAAAGACAACTTTCAGCAGACTTTCTCTGTTCCTCAGAAGCTAAGCTTCCTTTTCCTGACTTACTTACTGACATGTAATTTCAACTGTAATTTGTCCTGTTTCAGTTGAATAAATGTGCATCATAAAATAATTCTCTACACGATGGGAAAAAATCACAATCAACACCCAAAATTAACTTACACTTGTGGTTAAAAACACTTTTCCATCTAACCTAAAAAAAGGCAGCTTCCCACAACTGAAAATAATGTACATTACCTTAGTTGGATAGTTGATAATTAAAGAAACCAGAAGGCAATATAGAGGGAATATAAGCTTTCTCATTCATGCTTCCACACTGAAGAAAATCCCCACATCATACAATTTTCCTGAATAAGATTAGGGGAATTTTTTTTGAAGAAATCCTACTTTTGTCATTTATCCAAAACTTGTGAAGTAAAAGAGGAAAACTTATTTTTTTTAACAAAACAGTTCTTGGCATTAAGACCAAAAGAACTTTCCTCTTTTGCTTTGTGGTATTATCACTTAGTTGTAAACAGTATGATGGCATCCGATAAAGAAATCTATAAAATCAGAGTAAAACATTTTTGGCAGACATTGCAGAAAAAAAATGCAATAGAATGTAAACCAGGGATTTTTGTTATTGTTGTTGCTGGGGATTGTCTTGAAAGTGTCTTTTTAGGACTACAAGTGGCATGGTATTATCCCTGTGGGTGCCATGTTTATTCTTTTTTGCTTTTGTGGATTTTTAAAATAAAGGTACAGATAGTTCTTAACCTAGGACTACTTGACTGTTCAAAGGCAGTAAAAAAAAAAAAAAACTTGTGACCAATCCTCACACAACCATCACATCCCGTCACATGATCTAAATTTGGGCATCTGGCATTTATTATATATGGTTGCAGAGTTCTGAGGTCACAATTGCCATTTACCACCTTCCCAGGGAGCTTCCAAGTCAATGGGGAAACCAGATTCACTAATGACATGATTCACTGAATGACCATGGTAAAGGTATAAATTTGCACTAACACTTAAGAACTGCATCATTCAGCAACAGAAGCTCTGATCCCAATTATGGTTGTAAGCTGAGGACTACCTGCAGTATTAAGCTATTGCTTGCATGAATTTACACAGTATCTAGAGTGGTGCTGATGGCTACAGGCCAGATACGACCCACTTATTATGTATAAGCCACAGGACACAAAACTTGGCATAAAAGCAGCAGCACTGGAGAAGCTATTATCACTTTGTTCTACAGGTCATTCCAACGAGTGATATTTATAACTGATGGGTTGGGACTGAAGGATAACTCTTAAGAGGATGAATTGGGATCAATTATTTGAGAGCTATGGCATTTATCATTTCTTTGCTCAAAAATGGAAAATACTTTTTATCATAATCCTCACATTTGTTGTGATGAACTCTACAAATAGCAAAATAGATTTTTGAAGGAAAACCCTTTAAAGCCACAGCAAGTATTTTAATAAAGATGAGCGCCCCATCTTAAAAAAATATATTCCAAATTTTATGAGCTTTGTCTTATTAGTCAGGATGCCATTTGGTTATTTGACTAATTATATTAGATCAACATAACCAAAGACCCATAGTTAAGAAGGGCTTTGTGTGGCAAATAGTAACATATGGAATTAGTACTTTTCCCCCAAACTTATTACACTGGCTGACTTGACCATCTAATATTCAAGTCTGCGAATGACCACATCAACATACACACAAGACAGAAGCTCAAGAGGTACCCAAAGAGCAAGTCTGTTTTCAATTCCAGCCTTGAGGTAAACTCTCTTCCAGGATCCAGAGGTGCCCCTTCCACCTGCCAAATAAAGCCAGGTTACAATTCTAATTCAGTATTCATTGTGTGATATTTTGATAACGGAGCCTTCCAGGTGAATCCTCATTATCCTAGGGATAATTTATATTAAATATTATGCTATGTTCATCCAGGTTCCTTTAAGGACAGGACCATTATTATCAAATTTATTTGCTGCCCAGCTCTCAGTCCAAGGCAACTCTGCGTTCAAGAGACAAAAATCAAAAAGATCAGCAACTTCACTTTAGAACTAGATACCCCTCGACTTACAACCATTCACTTAGTGACCAGTTACAATGGCACTGAAAATATGACTGACCAGTCCTCACACTTACGACCATTGCAGCATCCCATCACATGAGGAAAATTCTGGTGCTTGGCAACTAACTTTCACAATTGCAGTGTCCGAGGGTCACGTGATTGCCATTTGCAACCTTCCCACCTGGCTTCTGACAAGCAGTCAGTGGAGTAGCCAGATTCAATGACGATTCATTACGATTTAACAACCCTGGCAAAAAAGGTGGTAAAATTAGGTGCAACTTAACAGCCACCTTGCTTAATGATAGAAATTCTGGTCATAAGTCAAGGACTACCTGTATGAAGTTGTCTCTACATAGGGTATCGAGCCTTAATGTAGAACATGGGAAGATTCAGCTATAGGTCAATCTGTAGGCACTTTGACTGAATACATTATGTGCAACTCAACATAACAATCTTTGAATGTTATGGATCCATGCACGATTGACTGTATAATTATTTGAAACCCGGCCCTGAAGTTTCCTTTCCGGGCGGGCATATTAAATTCTTGCAACAAGTCCCACCATCTGTTATCACCAACTACTTTCACCAGGTATAATGGAGTTAGGAGTTAAGCCATGTATCAACATACACGTGCTATCACTCTTCAGACATCTGACTTTATTCATGCGGTCATGTTGGCCCATAGAATAGGGGTTATTGTATTAAAATACTTCAATTTTTAAAATTGGTATGAAGTCTTGCAGTTTCATTACTTGCTTCTTCCAGTTTCAGTATTTGCATGCTTTTAACATTTTCTATACCTGTGCCACATTAATTTTGTGACATAAATTGATACCACAAAATCAGCAATGGATCAACAAGTTCTTTTTTGATAGATTTGGGACTCAAAAAGCAACAGACCTGTTCAGAAGCCCACTTTTGTCACAAAATACAACAAAAGTAGACTACCTTGGCTATCTTTCCGGAATCCATTTAGATTGATACTTTACACTCAATATTAAGAATCTGCAGGAACAGCTGAATTATAGTCAGTGCTATGAACTATACTGAGGAAATTTGCATTATTTTTTCCTTTCAATATTGCATAATTACATTGCTAATTTGAAGGATGATGAAAGATTTCTGCAAGGGACTATAATCCTGCTTTAATAGTCCTTTGCTCTAATATTTTAGCAAGAAACATACATTCAAGGGTATTTTAATAGTGGTGTATTTAGAAAAATTCTTCTAGTGCCTCTGAAATGAAACCACATTTAAGAAATATTGGTGGTTCTTTAGTGATTATGCATACAGCCCCACTATGTATGCATTGATTGTCACAAAATACTTTAGGAACTAAAACTTCTGAGAAACTCAACGGGCAAGATGAACAGTGACTGACAATCATCCTTTATGACAACTTACATACTTTTTAACTAATGCATAAAAAACTGAGAAACAAATGATAGTTCCTGGGAAAGTGGAACCAGACGTAATTATTTCATACTTAAATTGAATCTCACATTTCTGATAACCTTTAAAATGTATTTATTTGCTATATCTAAGTAATGCATAACTTGGCAGGGAATCCTAAAAAAAGGCCACAATGGTGTCTTCTATGCAAATTTTAACAACACTTTACCGTAAAACTTTCAAATGGTTCAATGCAAAAAAAAATTTATGGTTAAACATCTATGTGAGAAATGAGGCATTTCAAGCATCTGGGATGCAGTCCAAACTTCAAATTCAAAATACCTGTTAAGACTTTCACAAAATTTTACACCTGAAATGTTTCAAACCAAGTATTTTGCACACTTCTATAAGGTAACACAGAAACAACCCTTCTAGTTCTAAAAGATTGATTTTCAAGTTTTTACTGCAACATCTGTATGAAATTATTTTATAAAACTTTATGCTTGTAGCCTGCCCACTTATGTGATGGAGTTCTCTATCAAGATTTCTGTTTATCCAAGTACCCATGTAGTTACTGCAGCCTTAACTTGACTGCAAAGAGTTGAAGTGTTACAATGTCAAGAACAGAATTCATTTTCAGAAGGGCATTTAATAGGCTTCGTGAAGCCAAAGAACTGAATACAGGAATACCTTAACCACTTTTAGTACAATATTGAATTACATGTGAGTCTTCCAGTTTAAAAGAAAAATATAAACAAACAGTTTTTCAAGAACTTGCAGGTTCTGCAAGCTTCAGGTTCTAGGTACATCATACAGTATAAATTTGTTTCTGAAGATCAACACGAGTCTCCCTTAATAATCAAGGGGGGGCTGCCTTCCACCATGCCCCTTCCTCACTACATCATAGTACTTTTACAAAACTACAAGGTATTAATGCATTTATAAAAACAAGGAGGATCTTCACACCTTGCTCAGGCTCTGGGGGATTATAGGTGATATATAGGTCAGACCCCCCCCCCACCTTGGCTTGTTGAAAGAAATCAGGGGGAAAAAAACAATAAATGTATTATTCAAAATGCTTAAACACACCTGTAAAAAATAAAAAAGGAAAAAAAAGCAAATTAAAAAAAATTCCTCCAAAAAGATCTAATAGGCCATCCTGTAGCAGAAGCTGTTGGGCTGCTTGTGATAAGACTACAAAAAAGGGAAGATACAGGTAGAGAACTAAACAAGATTCAGCGAAGCTCCAAAAATCTTTATAAATACAGCCATTGGAAGGACGATCTTGAGTCAGGAAGGATTTATGCTCGGTGCAAGCTGAGAACGAGAAGCAGGTACAAATTGTAAAGCACACTGAAGAAACCGGTACATTTTACTAAGCTAGTCTCCCTCCTCCCAACCCAGGCCAAATTGTTTACAGCCTTGGGTGATGGTGCTGTCAACTAACCTGAGAAGGAGCATGAGGAAGGGGAGGGGGGTGAGTAAATCTAAGTTTCCTTTAAGGGCCATGTTTGCAAACTTTTTTTCCCTTTCAAAAATGCATGGCTCTAAGAGGTACGTGGTGGTTTATTTATCAAAATAGTCCAGAGGATGTTTCTGTGCGCAAAGAATGCAGTCAGAATTTTTATAGACTTGCTCAATAGTTCCTTTTAGAATCAATTTGTTAAGATGTTGAACTGTCCCACTGTTTTTCTTCAGCAAGACAGTTCATTTAGGTTGTATTCTGCTGGCAAAGTAATAGGCATTTAGAAAGCTAAGTACTATGTTTTACTACCTACTACATAACAGGAACAGAGACTTCTTAAGCCTACTTGAACATACTAAAGAAACATACTTACCTAATTATCATAATTGTCTCTGTAAGAGCTTCCAGAGTAACGGTCCCCATAGCCTCCCTGATTTCTGAAAGAAAAGCACAAGACTGATTTAGTCCAGTGATGGATCAGTTAAAATTGTGCAAATATGAATACAAATAGCAAAACTCATTACATGCATATAAAAATTTGCTTTATCTTCTATGCGCAAATGATAGTTGTGTGATTTTGGATATATATTACCATTATCATCCAATATCAATTATTATGGGATAGGCCAACTATTTTGATGCACATATTAATTATGTACTTCCTCAGACTGTTATTTTTTTCATTTGTTGTAGTACTAAGTGGAGGAACTGATGTAGAGTGAACATGATCTGGAATACAGACAGGCAGACGATTAACACCTGTCCAGAACCACTTAAAGCAACTGCATTTTTCCCAGAGGTTATTTGGTTACTACCATGCTATCCCACTAAGAGAGATGCTTGATTGAAGCAGAGATGTTTTGCAAGACCATACCAAGGCATGTCTACCATTGTCCACCCGACTGCATTCAGGGTCAGTTATAACTTCTGCATGGTCTTCAAGGCCAGCCACATATATAAGCACACTGCAGTAAAAAAGCCATGAAGTGACCAGGTGATAAAAGAGTGGTTGACTGAAGGGCACAACTGGCACACCAGATCAAGCTATGCAAAATTCTTCCTGGCCACAGCTGCAACCTGCCCATGAAGAAGTTAAGTCCAAGATGACTTTCAAATTATATGATTGAAGGAGGAAGTGCTATCCCAGCCAAGGTAAAAGATGTGATATTTGCAGATCCAAACATCTGCAGTGACTTGGTCTTGCTAAGATTATTTAATATATTAATATAACCTTGCCAACACCTACTAAATGTTTATATCCATTTAGGGCAAAAAGAATTTTGAGTTATTCCCTCCACCCCCAATTCAACCGAGCTATACTACAGGACAAATCCAGCATATCCATTCAATTATAATTTTGTACCCATCTATTGCAAGTGATTTAAAATGGCATATTATTTTCATTTCTATAAGACACAGTATGTTATTAACAGCAGGTGAGCACACAGCACCAACAGTTCTCACATTAAATTTAAAGTAAAATTAACTCCCGAATGCTTACGATGGAAAAAGAACAGCAATCCATCTGAAGACGCTTTAAACTAAAATTAATCTGAAGCAAAGCTAAGTATCATGAGTGACAATAAGATAGAGTAGAACTGCTGGAGGTAGCAAGCAGCTGTTTCTAACATATGCTTTGCTGTATAATTTCTAAAATCACAACTCATTTTAAAAAAATTGTCATTGCTAGGAATGAAATAGAAAATGTCTAGTGGGCTCTTGAAACATTTTACAGAGCAAGTAGGGGGACTGGTGTGCAATGCTCCCTCTCTCCCCTCAGCAGCTCCCAGCATGGCATTTTTCTACTGACCCTCCGCTCCCCCCCCCCCCGGTTGTCAAAGGATTGGTCCATGTGCCCATTCTTTAATGTACAAGAATAGACTCTCCGATGGAAGACTTTTCCAGCATGCAATACCCTGCTGGCCTGCCCACACCCAATTCCCAATGCTCCCCCCCCTCCTTATAGATTGCTGATATCCTTGGCTTTTCCCAATTTTTTCACTGTCCTCCAAACTACTTCTGCCTGGAATAATCATCTCTCAATCTGGATTTGGCCCAGAACATTCCTACTTTGTTCTGTTTATTGAACCAATATGTATGTATGTATGTTTCAGTTGAGGCATGGAGTATTCTGTAGATCTGTTTTCCATACCCAATTTGTAAAGATCACAATTTGCCTCTAAAAAAGCTTACCTGCTGCCATAATAGTCTCTGGATCCACCATATCCACCGCTTCGGTTGTCATAACGGCCACCTCCATATCCACCGCCTCCTATTGTAAAGATATAAGTATCTGTTAAATATTATCATTTCAATGCAGTAGAGGTTATGATAAAAGGGCAAGTTTAATATTGTAGGAAAGCTTCACCTCTAGAAAATCCACGTCCACGCCCTCTGCCTCCAGAAGAGCCACGGGAGGATTTTCCAGCCTGGTCAACTCTGATCTGACGTCCATCCACAGACTTATATGAAAGAATCAAATGAGATTTTTATTTGATACAATTGTATCTACTGCCAAAAGGAAGCTGCCTGTGATGATATGGGTATAGTTAAGTCAAATACTACATTTGATTATAGCATGCTTGTTCCTTTTCTTGACACAAGCCCAATTTGATAGCAATTTTTGCAGGGGCTCTAAGGGTTGTTCAGTTGCAGACTGCATTTCTCCATTTTACAGCTTGAGAAGAGGAACAAACTCTCTAATATATAATACATAATGCCCTGAACAAATACAACCAGTAAATTATATTCTAACTTTCTGCAGCCTATCTACACTTGCTTCCATAAACAATTTGCCTTCTCTAAGCTAAGTATTCAGATTCAGTCCACACCTCAGAAATATTTAAATATCAATAATGCAACAATTATCTGCGAAAAAAGTGTCTTAAATAGTCAGGATTTGTTCGTTGTAACTTTCAGCTAACTGTGCACATTAGGTTAAGGGGAATTACAATAATTATGATGAACTGTTTTATGGAGCTAGTATTGTTATTCACCCATTACATGACATTAATTTTGAATTGTTTTATGAGTTTTTGCAGGCCTGGTAACATTATGCAAATTAAAAGTCTATTTTCAACCTGAAGTTAACAAGATTCTGTGAAAAAAACTTAAAATGTATGCATTCACTATGAAAGTTAAAGCACTTTATTTCCTTTTTACTATTATAGAGTTTAGAAGACACTGTTTTCCTATGAGGCACTGCTTTAACAAAAGAGATTAAAATGGTTGGATTAGATGACTTCTGAAGTACTTTTGAACTCTAGGATTCCAGAAGTTTGATACAATGGTATCTACTATGAGTAGAGATAGTTGTGTAAGTGGACAGATACAGGACTGGAGGGAACATAATGTAATAATACAATTATAAATCTATATTAAAGGACAAGTATGCTGGGAAATAGCAAAGCATGAAACTTCACTTCAAGCATCTTGATAGTCATCTTGATAGAGAACTAAAGTTTCTCACCTCGCCATTCATGGCTCGCATGGCATCCTTGGCATCTTCAGGACGGCAATAGGTAATAAAACCAAATCCCCTGGATCGCTGGGTCTCTCTGTCTTTCACCACAACCACTTGAGATTATAAAAAGAAGCATGCTAACTTAGATCACAGGAGGAGTAGAGGTCAACGTGCTAGAAGTTTATTTCATGCAATTTATACAAAATAAACTGATCTATTAACAGTCAAACCAAACTGGTGTTAGATAAGGGTCAACAGAACTCAGAGGGTTGGACTTAGGTCTTTTGTGGGAATGTAACAACTCCAAACAGATGATCCTGCCCTCAGGGTCTGCCTCGTTATCTCCTACATTAAAACTTTGTTCAATTGATTACCATAAAAGTAAAATTATTAACAGTATCTTAGTCCTTACACATTAAAGTAACTAGCTTACCACTCATCAGAGGAAGTTTTCCATAATATGAAATAAATCCTTACAATTATGTGCATGCTTTTATATGGTTTTAAATTAAGACAATTCAAATAAAAGTAATAAAAAAGCAAATTGTTTAGGATTGTTTGAGGCAAAATTACCTCAAAAGTAAAACAATACTATGTCAAGGCTTAAATAATAATTGAATTTTTTTATATCACTAGGAATGGTTGATTTTTATGATTTTAGAGTTAACTGTTGAATGGCATGCTACATCATTTTTAGCTAATTAATTGCAGTCATATTAAAACAAACCATGATTGTCATTTATAACAAGTTTTGTCCACACCTCTATTGAACCGCTATTTTATGCATTGCATCACAGTACATGTTACTGATATTACATCTAATATCAGTAATGAATGAAATGAATGTGATTTTGTGCAATCTAATATGTCTGAAACATTCTCACCTTCTGCAATGTCACCATAGGGCGAGAACAATTGCTCCAAATTTTGTTCATTGGTGTCAAAACTGAGTCCTCCAATGAAGAGCTTTCCTTCATCTGACGCCATTTTCTAAGTGATCTGTAAGCAAAAGAATCTTTAATTCTGAGAAAATACAAGGATATACACATAAGGGCAAAATCCACACTTGTTAAAATAGTTCTATGCTGCTTCAATTACTGTAACTTTTAAGTAGCTCATGGCAGTTACAAATTCAGTAAACATGCATATACTAATAGATACAAGCTTTTAACAGATTATTGCTCAGAAGCATATTCTATTGTTTAGAATTATTAAAAAATTCAGATTTAAAAGTTTAGAAAAAGATTTAAAAATTGATTTTCCAAACATCTGACTAGGTATTTGTAATCTGAACCCGAAACTATACAGTAAATGTTTTTTTAAAATCTTTAATTGGGGTAATTTTCAACTTGAAATTTTCTTACAAGGATGGAACTTTTTCCAATTTTGTGCACTTTCCCCCCCCACAGTTTATATTTCTAAGTAACCTACTAAGTAACCTACTACAATTAATAATTTATATCCAAATGAAAGCCTTAAAGATCTTTGTATTTTAGTGCTATAAAATTAGGAAGTGTTTCTGTTGTCTTTCCTAAGGTAGTCACTTGCAGAGGATGATGAATGCCTGTAGGCAGGATTCCTTTTTCTTATTTATACCTCTCAATGTTTACTTTGAGGAAGGGATGGAACACAGCTTCTTAATTATATACATTTAAAAGACTGTTTCACTAAATCTTACTACCTATAGCAGAACCCCTATAGGGGTTCTTTTTGGAGATAATACTTGGTACTTTAAAAATCTAAATATATGCAAAATATTTTTAAAATCACATATTTTGTGGATTTCAAAGTAAGCAAGGAGCATCTATTATTCTTTCAGGGCAAGAATTAAACATAGATCTCCCTCCTTATTGTGGAAAAGGCAATATTAATTGGTATTTACTAGACAGTCTATTTTTATGTTACATTCCTTTTATTATTTTAGAAACAAATGGATACAGGAGGATGAAAGAGGTAACACGTGTCCAAATGAAGCAAAGCTAATGAATAGATCATCACAGTGCAGTTAGCTACTGTATTGTTACGCAAGAATTCTTTGATTTCATCACAAAAGCAGAAAGATTCCCATTTCTCAATATCAAAAGCACTCTCTGATAAACCATGTAGACCTGTACAAGTTGCTGAAAAAGTCTTGAAAACCTTTTCCTGTTATGTCTTTTCCAATGCCAGTTTTTGAATACAGGGATAATTTGTTCACCAATTACATTTTATTTTTCATTTATAAAATGTGTACACCTCCTTTGATAACGTATGTCATGCTTTTTCATCTCTGGAAAATTGAGGGTCTGTGCTATTTTCCTTGTGAGGATGCCTTGGACTTTCAGGCCAACTACAATATTTCATCCTGTAAACTGGGATTTAAGGTATCATTATCAAACCTGTCTCCTTTATAAGCACCAGCTGCTTATTTACAGCCTCCATGGTATTGTTACATTCATAAAGTTGTGAAGCATATAATATTTCCTGTTGAAAAAGAACTTAAAATATTTATATCAGTACTTGTATCTGGAGGCTCTCATCTAAATACAATATAACCAGGATTTGGTTAAAATCTTAATGATCCCCAATAGGGGCCGTTTATTTTATTTATTTATTTATATAATTTATATTGCCGCCTATTCGCACATGGCGACTCAAGGCGACTTACAGAATATAAAACCTCATATAAAAACAATAAAACTAATAAGAGAGTCCCATAATAAATTAATATGATAAAATCTATCTATGATTATAAAAAAAAATTATGAGAATCCGATGCTGCTTTTGTCAGATAAGGATGACAAAAGTAACTGTAAAGCAGCCTGCCCCATTGCATGGTTTCCAATAAGAAATGAAAACTGTATTTAATCTTCTTGCGTAACAGGGTAAAGGAATAAAGTACCGCTACGGTTAAGGGACTGCCTTAGCGGCATTTTCCCTCCCAACGAATTCCCCCCCTCCCGGTAAAATGGCCACGAGCACGTGGTCCGAACAGAATGCGGGAAGGCGAGTGGAGCGCGGCTCACGTTCCAGAGAAAAACCCAACTAAGCATGCGCTAAGTCCGCTCCCTCGCCGCCCTGCTCGGGGTAAACGGGATTCTTCCTCCGCACCCCGCTCTCACCGCAGGTTACCAGGCTCATGAAACTTACCCCGTTGCTCACAGCGGCGCGTCCTTCCTCACCGTCCGTTAGGCGCAAGACAGTGAAAAACGAGTTTCAAAACCAGCGCATGCGCGCAAGGGCCCAGTAGTTCTTTCTGGGCAACCGCCATTTTGTGAAGCGTCTCTCCTTTCTTTCCCTGCGCCTTTCCTTCCTCTCCTTCAAGAAAGCCTTTTGTCTCCGCTTTCTTCGCTAAGCCTCACCCCGGCACCCTCTCCTCCCTCAAGAACCCGAGCGCGCTCCGATCAAAAGCACTCACCAAAATAGGCCTCGAAGCGAAGAGCCGCGCAAAAGACCCGTCAGCTACCGAAGCAAGAGGTATCGCGATGGCGGCGAGGGGAACACGAGTGTTAAAGCGAGGCTGGTTACACACGCTTCTGCGCGGCTCGCGAGCAGCCATTGGTTGGAGTTGCCAGTGGGCGAGGCTTAGCCGAAATAGCGGAGACGCCCATCCGCTCCAGGAAAAAAAACTCTTTTCCTGCGGCGTCTCACTGCAGCCCTATCAGCGTTTCCTTGCTAGGAATTACATTTGTGTAAGGCGTAAGCAAACGGCCCTCATTAAGGAAGCACGGCCGCGTACGTGTCGCAGCTGCCATAGCAGGCCTCCCATTCGTCGTCTTTCCATTTTCCAAGAGACTAATAAAACTGGGGGAGGGAGCCAAAATCTGTGTAACGCCTTATCTCCAATTTGGGGGGAGACGAACAATAAAAGGAATGTTTCGTTGAAGGGAAGTCAGTAAACCTCTAACGGGGAAAGTAAACCGCTAATCAAATGTTGCTGGATATCCTGATTATAGATACTGCATAATTTTCGTGAAAAAGCAGAGAATAATCAGTAATTGACTAAAAAAAACAAAACCCAACCTTAAAAATCAAAGGATTGACAAAAACGATGCATGGAAACTAAAGATAATTGGGGGTGGGGTGGAAGGGAGGAGGAACTTAACACCCTTACATCACAAAGAAAATCTCATGAATCCAAAGTATGCACCGCAGACACTTTGGATCCCGGATTGGATGACAATTTCACATTTTTCATCATTGCAGTTTATGCCAGACTGCTGTACTCTGAACTTCATTTTATCAGGGTCCACAATCAGGAATCACTGTTACACCAACAAAATGGAAGCAAGTGGTGTTCTGTTTGTCAGATTAAGTCATATTTGAAGCATCCAAAAATTTCAAATGTTTGTACGATTGCATTTTAAGTTCTGTCATCTTTCAATGTATCATGCCTGATTCCAGAATAGTAGAGCTAGTATAAAATGTTGATTGTGTGGCATCAAGTCAGCATCTTTTTCTATGCTCTCACAATTAAATTACTTCATTTGCAGAATTTGGAAATTTCATTTCCCCCCCTTTCTATCAGATCAGTAGACTACGGTATTCCTTCACTGGAGATTGCATATTGAAGTATTATATAAAACTGAAGTTGGCTCACATAAATGGAAAGCATTGTTAAGCAATTATAGGAATGCTAGTAAAATAAGAATGCTGGTATGCTTACATTTTATTACACTAACTGAGGTGGAGCAGGAATATGAGAGAAAAGTTTCCCTGAAATCAAGAGGTAACTAGTTGCCACATATTTAAAGTATTTAAATTTAAAAAATCTGTTTTGGCAGAAGAATATAAGTACTATATTTAAAAAAATCAGTGAAATAAACTTCAAAGATTTCTGGTTTGATGTTCAATCTAGTCCAATTCGAGAGCCAGTTTGGTGTAGTGGTTATGGTGCTGGCCTAAAAACCAAGGAGACTGAGTAGATCAAGTTCTAGGCTTCCCTTAGATATGAAAGGAGTCTTTGGGCGAGTCATTCTCAGCTCACCTTACAAGGTTGTTTCAGAGAAAATAGCATCCCCATGGTCATGTGATCAAAATTGGGGCACTTGACAACTAGCATGGGGTCAGGTGATTATCATTTTTAGCCTTCCCAGCTGGCTTCCAATAATGAAGTCAATGGGGGGAGCCAGATTCACTTAACCACATGATTCACTTAACTGCAGTGATTCACTTAATAACTGGCAAAAAACTGTTGTAAAATGGGGCACAACCAGTGGTGGGATTAAAGTAATTTAACAACCAGTTCTCTGCCCTAATAATTTCTTCCAACAACCAGTTTGCCAAACTGGTCAGAAAGTTAACAATCGGTTCTCCCGAAGTGGTGCGAACTGGCTGAATCCCACCACTGGGCACAACTCACTTAACAATTGTCTTGCTTACCAATAGAAATGTTGGGCTCCATTGTGGTTGCAAGTCAAGGACTACCTGTATTAGATATGTTTGCCACCTTGAGATACATGAGAAAGGCAGGATAAAAATCTAATAATTATCCATAAAATGATTTTGATTTGATGTTTAAACAAGAGCCTTGGTAGTACAGGGGTTTAAGGCACCCTGTTATTAAGCTGGTTATTAAGACCAGCTGCCTGCAATTACTGCAGGGTTCGAATCTCGCCAAGGCTCAAGGTTGACTCAGCCTTCCATCCTTTCTAAGGTAGGTAAATTGAGGACCCAGTTGTGGGGGCAATAAGCTGACTTTATACAAATATACAAAAGGATGAAGGCTATTGCTGAGCACATTGTAAGCCGCCCTGAGTCTCCGGAGAAGGGCGGCATATAAATCAAATTAAAACAAAACAAAACAAAAAAACAACAACAGCATTTTATAAATATTTACAAAACATATTCAAGACACCACTTAGAATAAACAATATAAAAGAAAGCCATTCTATCTTCTAAAGTGAGGATGTTCCATAGAGCAGGGGCCATTGCAGAAAAAGGTTGGCTTTTGGTCCCCGCTAGTTTGACACTCTCACTCACAGGATCTGCAGCATGCACATTTTGCTGTATTTGGTTGGACAGATAGATACATTTAGAAAAAGGTGATCCCCCAGGTAACCCAGTCCCAAGCCATGTAGGGCTTTAAAGGTGACCACCAGCACCTTGAATTGCACCCAGAAGCCAATGCAGCTCACACAGGTATTATGTGTGCCATATATCTGGCACCATTTATTACCCACAAAACTATATACCGCACCAGATGAAGTTTCCAAATGTTTTTCATGGGCAGCTCCATATACAGTGTGCACAATTATTAGGCTACTGAGCATTTTGACTATATCATCATTTTTATGCATGTTTTCCACCTCTAAGCTGTATAAACTTGAATGCTTAGTAGATATAAGCATATCAGGTGATGTGTATTTGTGTAATGAAGGAGGGTATGGCCTAAGGAGATCAATACCCTATATCACGGGTGTCAAACTTGCTCACATCACGTGACATATTGTGTTGTATCGTGACACTTTTTTGCTTTGGAGCCAGGGTGGGCATGGTCTGCACATGATGCATTCGGCCCATTGGCCGCCAGTTTGACACCCTTGCCCTATATCAAGGTGTACATAATTATTAGGCAGCTTCTGTCAAGCCCCAGCCGGGTCTCGCCACTCATGGGACTGGAGGGGAGGAGGATACCAGCTGTTCGAAAGGTCCACATGAGAGGCGGCTTGTCCACAGCAAAATGGGCCAAAAAAGAGATTTAACTGACTCTGGAAAGTCAAAAATGGTAAGTCTTTCAGAGGGATGCAGCATGCTCGAAATTGCTAAGACATGGGTCCTCAAACTACAGCCCGCGGGCCGCATGCGGCCCGCTGAAACAATCCGGCCCGTGGAGCACCACGAGGTTGCTCTGCCCACATCACCCAACCTACCCTTCAGCAGAGCGTAGGACTTGCCTTCGGGAGACCTGCAGGCTGGAACCAAAAGGTTCAAAAGCTCAACAGTTTTAGCCTGCACAATGCTTGTTGGGGGGGGGGAGCTAGAAGAGGAAAAAAACCAGGCAAAAATGGTCCGTTTTTGGCCAAAAACGAGCCATTTTGCCTGGTTTTAGCCTGCAGAATGCTTGTGGAGGTGGGGTGGGATTAGAAGATGCAAAAAAAACCAGGCAAAAATGGCCCGTTTTTCACCTTCACCGCCTCCACAAGATAGAGAGAGAGAGAGAGAGAAAAGAGAGGGAGAGAGACAGAAAGAGAAGAGGGAGGGAGGGAGAGAAGGAAAGAGAGAGGGAAAGAGAAAGAAAGAGAGGGAGAGAGAAAAAGAAAGAATGAAAGAGAGAGGGGGGGAGAGAGAGGGGAGAGAAAGGGGGAGAGAGAGGGAGAGAGAGAGAGAAAGATACAGACAGAGAAAGAGGGAGAGAAGGAGAGAAAGGGAGAGGGAGAGAGACAAAGAGAGACAGAGAGAGAATGAAAGAGAAAGAATGAAAGAGAAAGGGGAGAGAGAGGAGAGAGGGAGAGAGACAAAGAAAGAGACAGACAGAGACAGAAAGAGAGGGAGAGAAAGAATGAAAGAGAAGGAGAAAGAGAGAGAGAAGGAGAGTAAGAGAGAGACAGACAGAGGGAGAAAGAGAGAGAGAAGGAGAGAAAGAGAGAGAAAAAAAGGGAGAGAGAGAAAGAAAGAGAGAGAGACAGAGAGAGAGAGACAGAGAGAGATTTCTCAAGCTCCTTGGGGCTGAGAAGAATTGCAGCAAAAGTGAGTTTCCTGAAGTGGACCACTAGACTCCTAAACAACTGAAAAAACGATCTAGTAAAAAGAAAAGAGCAACATGCAAACAAAAGCAAATAAAACACTTCCTGAAGCAAAACAAATTAAAGTTTAATTTGTGTGCATTGTTCAATGGACTGTTAAATTGGCCCACCCAGTCACATGACCTAGCCATGCCCACCTAGTCACATGGCCACCTAGCCACGCCCTCCCAGCTGATCCAGCCCCCCAACAGTTTGAGGGACCGTGAATTGGCCCCGTTTAAAAAGTTTGAGGACCCCTGTGCTAAGATATTGGGACATGATCAGAGAATCATGAAATGTTTTGTTGCAAATAGTCAACAGGATTGCAAGAAACGTGTTGAGAAAAAAAAGACATTAACTGCCAAAGATTTAAGAAGAATCAAATGTGAAGCTACTAGGAACCCATTATCCTCCAGTGCTGTCCTATTCCAGAACTGCAACGTATCTGGAGTGCTCAGAAGTACAAGGTGTTCAGTGCTTAGAGACATGACCAAGGTAAGGAAGGCTGAAACCCAACTACCACTGAACAAGACACATAAGTTGAAATGGCAAGACTGAGCCAAGAAATATCTGAAGACAGACTTTTCAAAGGTTTTATGGACTGATGAGAGTGACTCTTGACATACCAGGTAGATGGGCTCGTGGCTGGATCAGTAACAGGCACAGAGCTCCACTTTGACTCAGATGGCAACAAGGCGGAAGTGGAGTACTGGTATGGGCTGGTATTATTAAAGATGAGCTAGATGGACCTTTTGGGGTTGAAGATGGACTCAAAATCAACTCCCAACCTACTGCCAGTTTTTAGAACATACTTTCTTCAAGCAGTGGTACAGGAAAAACTATGCATC